AAGGGTTTTCTCTTAGTTAGGTATCAACTAGGACATGTCTAATGATAACAGGATATCCCTTCTGTTCTGTGTATTCATTCACTTAATTTCATTTATTCCACAAATGTCCAGTGAGTCTTTATGATGCCCAAGTCACTGTGCTGGGTGCCATGTATACAATGAGTAAGAACAAACAATGCTTTCCCTCACAGTTTCTGGTCTAGTAGGGCAGGTGGACAATGAACAAATAATTACAACAATCAATAAATAATTACCAGTTGTGACTGAAAACAGTAGACAAGACTTGAAAGATAAAATGAGAGCATATAATATGAGATGTAGTCTAACTCCCTAAGGAAGTTATTAGCCACTAATGTGTATTTTACCAAGGATCATAGGTTTTTACCTTATTAAAATAAAAAGGAATTATTACTATTATTTGTAGTAAGAAAAAGCCAAGAGAGATTTGGTAGCTCTCTACCTATAATTCCAGCTTCATCTTTTCTAGTAAGATGTGAAATATATGTGCAATGAACAGTGTCTATACTTTAATAACTGGTTAAACTAAAAGACAATCAGCGACCCAACGTTACTTTGATCCTTTCCTGGTGGGAACTTAGATAGCACCTCCCTTTCAAGGATAGTATAAAGAGTACTTGCTGATAAAACTACACACTCGCCCATAAAGTATGCTAAAACAGATATGGACAACCAACACCAGCCAGACTCCGGCAGTCGTGGGAGAGGCTTTCAACACTCTGGTGCCCACCAGCTACCTGCTATACTAGTCTGTTACTCCATAGTCTATACCACAGTCTGCACAAAGCAGTCAGGTGGGGTCATCATAAAGAGTGGTTGGGTGTTCGTGAAACCCACATGGGAAAAAAGTCTAGCAGAGCTCTCATAGAGGATACAAATAGGCTATTCTCAACCATTCTTGCTATGTTGATTTTGTCTTCATTGTACAGCTAAATCTACAATTATATTTTATAGTTTGGTAATACTTACCTTTCTGTGCAATGAATTTAAAAATAGATGTATATATTAAATGAAAAATTAAGAATCAAATTCGTATCCAAGAAAGCTGATGATGAACGCATAATCTGTACAACATAATGACATTTCCTATTCTCTGTGGGGACCAGGATGATTATCACTGATCACATGAAAACCAGAAGAAATAAATCTGCTGAAGAAGCATCAACATATACTTCAAAGGCGATAATTTAGCATGTGCAGCTGCAAACGGTACATTTAACACCACTCTGTAGAATATAACTTTTATTTAAATCAAATGACTCTTCTAAATTTTCACTCACATTCTTGTGCACATACAAAAAGCAAAGTTGTTTCCATGTTGGTTTGGCTGAAAGAAAAACCTTGCAAAAAGCTATAGGATACCAGTTTTACATCAATGTCATCAGGTACTTTAAATAGAAAAATCTACTCATCCCAATAATGGCTAAATTTTTCTAACCTTATTATAAAATCAAAATAGAAGTTTTGGAAAGTCATTATATTGAAGGTAAAACATTTTTCTGACTGCTAAATTAATTTAAAAACTACAACAACGAAGATAAAGCTATTAGTTCTTAAACTGATAATACAAATACAAACGGTGGTACAAACATTTAAACACTGTATAAAGAATAATATTCTTGGTGAATTTTTTAAATGATGAAATAGAAATTTACTAGGAATTAGTTGTGGTACACAAGTAATTCATAATTGTTACCAGAACAATTCTTTCCCAAAGTAGTGAGGAATTCTACCAATCAACTAGACATCAGAATTGCACAAATTACAAATATATCCATGTATTCACAAAGTGGCTGAACTATAAAATCTGTGACAAAGTTGATGCTGAACACAAAAAAATTCACATGACTTTACACAAGCACTTTGGATTTTAAAAATCTGAGCCTTTGAAGAACTTCTCTGAAATCAACCTAGTTCCTAAAATGACATTGATTTTTTTTTCCCATGTGAATGAGTCCTTTTAGCTCTATTTTGTTCAAAACTAGCTGGAAATCTCTGATCCAAGTACTCAATGGTGAAGTGCTACATTTTTCAGTTTTTCCAGCTTTCAAAGAATTGCAGTTATTGAAAATCAAACATAGGAAAACAACACTGAAATTTACCCCTTACACATTACAGAAAATGAAGTGAAAATACAATCAGCAAACATGATTCAATTGTGAGTTTATACAACTGTACTCAGATATATCTTCATTGTGGGAAACTTTCAAAACACTTTATTGAAGTATGTTATACGCACAAAATAGTATACATCTTAGGGCTGTGTTGTCCAGTAGCACAGCCTCTAGCCATGTGAGTACTGCATACTGGAAATGTTGCTAATTTGAGTAACTGGAAAACACACTGGGTTTCAAATACTTATTGCCAAAAAAAGGTAAAATGTCTCAATAAATGTTTATATCCTTTATGTTCAAATGATAATATTTTGGATATACTGGGATAAATAAAATGCACAAGTTAGCAATTAGAAAAAACTTTTTAAAATGTGACTTTTTAGAAAAATTTAAATTACATAATATGGCTCACATTTGAATTCTACTGGACAGCACTGTCCTAAAAGATAGTTTTATGAATTTTCAGAAACTGAACCTGCTCTTTAACTAAAAGCCACATGAAGAAACAGAACATTAGCAGCATCTTGGAAGCCTTCTCCTCCATTCCAGTAACTAGCCTCCTCTTCCAAGGATAAATCACTACCGTTCTTTTTAACACCATGTAGTATTAGTTTTACCTATTTTTGTACTTTGATATATAAATGTATTCATACAGCATGTGGTTTTTTTTTTTAATACCCTTAATATATTTGTGAAATTCACTCATTGGTGGGCTAGTTGTAGTTTTTAATTTTCTTTGTATTTCTCTGTGTGAACATGCAATTTACCGATTTGACAGCTTAGTGGGCATTTGGGCAGTTTATACAGTTCCTGGCTATTAACCAATAATGCTGTTACAAACGTCCTAGTATGTGTATCTTGATGATTACACACACACACACACACACATTCATTTCCACTGCATACCAAGCCTCAGAAAAGAATTACTTGATCACACATACACACATGTGCAGCTTTAGTATTTATTGCCAGTTTTCCAAATGTTCTGTCAACTTTATGTAATCAAATAACTGTTTTTCCATATCTTTGCCAATGTTTGTCAAAGATACTCTGAACAAAGGCAAAAAGACAATACCTGTGAAAATATTTCAGCAGAAATACTTACACAATTTAATTTTTTAAAATGGAGTTGTGACTATCCTCTGTTTATCTCTTAGCTTACCAGGTACCTCAGCAACTGTTAGAGAATTTTGTTCTCACATGGCAGAGAGAATAAGCAAGCTAGCTCTCTTCTGTGTTTCTTACCAGGACACTAATCCTGTCACATCAGGACTCCACTCTTCGGACCTCATTTAACCTTAATCAACCCCATAAGGGGGCTTCACTGGTGGCCCAGTGGTAAAAGAATCCACCTGCCAACATGTGAGATGCAGGTTTGATCCCTGGATCAGGAAAATACCCTTGAGAAGGAAATGGGAACCCACTTTATTCTTGGCTGGAAAATCCCAGACAGAGGAGCCTGGAGGGCTACAATCCATGGGGGACACAACTTAGTGACTAAACAACAAGAACATGCCCCATAAATGCCCTATCTCTAAATACAGTCATATTGGAAGCTGAGGCTTCAAAATACTAACTTAGGGGTAACACAAACATGCTGTTCACAATAGCTGGTAAGTGGTGGAGCCAGGAATCATAATTCTATGACCATGAAGCTCCTACTCCTAACTTCTATACTATATTGTCTTTTTACTTTTATTATCTTCCAGAAGATTTGGGATGGTGAACGCTCCAGAGAAGTGCTGATGGTTGGCACCCCTTGCTTTAAAATTTTTATACTATGAAAGACCTATTATTATATTAGTTTTTGATCACAGAATATGACAGTTTATAGCAATAAAACCCAATCTGTGGACCAGGGCAACAAAATCTGGAAAATTCTAAGTATGGAAAATACTGTGGGTTAAACTTAATCACCTTTTACAAAAACAGCCTTCTAAATTGCTAATTATTTACTATTTTTTCTGAAACAATTAAGTATTCCTTATCCCTATGGAAATCAAAGTGGCAGAGATTCTTTCTTAAGAATTTTAACTCTGAATCTGAATTTTTTTACTAGGAAGGTTTAATTTTTTTGATCTCTTAAGGAGACAATTCCTGCATTTCTATATTTGGACAATAACATGGAAAGAGATAACAGAACTAACAAAAAAGAGAGCTCCTTTTTATTCATGCCATCATTTTAACTTCATTAAGTGGATTAATATTAAACAACTGAAAAATTAACATCCACTAATAATCATATACTGACATGTTCTGGCCCCCATAATTACAAAAGTCAGTCAGCTGTTAATCTTACTGTGACTCACTTGCATGTAATGAGGCTTCCCTTTTGCAGGTTTGGCTATGATGTATCTAGGTGTGAATTTCTTTCTGTTTATCCTTAAAGTTCATTAAACTTCTTGGATATGGAGATGAGCATTTTTAATCAATTCAGAAGTTTTCAGCTATTTCTTAAAACACATTTTCTGCTCCTTTCTTTCTCTCCTCTCCATCTGAGACTTTCATTACATGTATGCTGTTCTGTGTGATGGCATCCCACCGTCTCTGATACTGATTGTTTTTCTTTTGCTTTCTGCTTTCTGTTCTTGAGACTGGATAACCTCCGTTAACCTGTGTTCAAATTCACTAATTCTTTTGCCAGCTCCAATCAGTTGAGTTTGTGAATTTTTCATTTCAGTCACTGTACTTTTCAAATTCTAGAATTTCTATTTGATTCCTTTTAAAAATTTAGATCTCTTTATTCCTTTTTTTAAAAAAAAATCTCTTTTGGCTGCACTGCACAGCATGTGAGATCTTAGTTTCCCGACCAGGGATCGAACCCACACCCCCTGCATTGGCAACAGAGAGTCTTAACCACTGGACGAGGGAAGTCTCAAATCTCTTTATTAATCCTCTCTTTGAAGAGTCATTGGCAAAAGGAAGAATTTTTCCTTTAGTTCTTTGAATACATTGAAAAAGAAGCTGCTCTTTTTGTTACTAGGAACCATCATTTGCCACTGAGCTCACTCCAAGTTTCTATTGCTTGCTTTTCCCTGAATAACAGTCACACTTTTGTGCTTATTTTCATGTCTTATAATTTCCTTAAAAACTGGGTATTTTAAATGAAATACTCCAAATTAGTAGCAAATCGAAATTCTGCCTACAGCTTCATGTTGCCTGTTTTCTGTTTGTCCACTTAGTGACTTGCCTAATTTTCTGGAGTCTGTTTCCCCATCAGTGTCCAAACTCTGAGGTCACTGCTTTTTTTGTTGTTGTTGTTCTTGTTTTTATTTTTTGTTGTTGTTCAAGCTTTGCTTTCTAGGGGGCTGTCCCAGGTCAGCATAACTTAGTGGTCAGCCAATGACTGGTCAGAGGTTTTGCTTCAACACCTTGAGCCAGAAGGCTTTCAAATCCTTTGCCATGGGGTCTGTGTGTGACTTGGAGGGATACTTTCAAAGTGTAGGAAGTTTATCAGTCTACTCTGCATTCAGTCAGGGGCCAGTAGCTTTCAAGGGTCCTCTGTCCTCTCCTGAACAGGTGTAGCCTTGTACATGTACACAGCCTTTTGGACCCTAAGAGCTAAGTGTGATATGAATAGTAGGGCTCACTTTAGCTATCTCTTTCCCTAGATTTCCCTGATAAATTTCTGGCCAGTCTGCCATTTTCTTGTTCCCTGCAACATTAGCTTTCCCAGAGTCTCTGTCTGCCACAGAGACTGCTATTGTTTTCGTAACAGCCCTGGGCATGTGTTTTTCCAAGTGCTGCTCTAAATAAAATCAGTTCCCTCTGACAGGACAACAGAGCTGCCAGTCCTCATGGCACGCCCAGGGAACTTGAGGAACCAGAGCTGAGGGAGGAGGTGGGAGCATCTCCTAACGTGCTAGATGATCATCACTGTTTATACTGAAATTCACTAGCTTTGTTCGAATAAATGCCTCTCAATATATGTCCTTTGGTTAATTTCCAGAGACCGTAAATGGGTTTTTGCTTGTTTGTTTACAATTTTGTTAAGTTTAACAATTGCTTTTTTGGAAGGAGAACTTGCCAAGCTCCTCATTCAGCTGTTTCAAAACTGCTGCTCATACATTTTATTTTAAACTGGGCTCCCTCCCCCCAAAATGTGCCAAAGATTCAGAGCAAATATTAAATAGAACCATCTACTCCACTTTGAAGTGCCCCACTAAGCCCACAGTGGTAATCCGACGCAATTTAAAACCACTGAAGGAAAACTTTCCCCAAACGGACCAAAACCTGGGTCTCAGTCTCTTCAGAATTCCTCAACATTATGAGAACATGAGACTTTCTATGCTTACTCTTAAAAAAAAAATAACTTCCAAATTTACTTGATGATAACAAACTGTATACACAAAGAGACAAGACAGGCAGGAAGGCCCTGGATCTCCTGTTCTCTGTTCTCCAGGCTCTCCCCACCCCTAGGCCGCAACAGGGACCACTCCCTTCCCGTCCTGTGGTGGAAGTGGGGATTGGAAGGTATGGAAATGATGTGTGTGTGTATGAATGTGTGTGTGTGTGTGTGTAGGGGTATGGGGGGCAGTGTGAAGAATGGAGAAGGATCAAAAATTAGAGAGGGCCTTCCCTCATCCCCACCACCCTGAGGAGGGCTCTTGAGGCAGCTGCCTCAGATGTGTCTCAGCCTATTAGACAGTAGAAGATCCAGCATCCAAAAGTGACCCAGTGACTGGCCCAGCTGAGCTCTGACCACTTGTGGACCGTGTATGCCATGCCGTAGCCCTGCTCCTCTGTGGTGTCGTCCACATCAACATCAAACAGGGAGCCCAGGTAGGCCAGGTGGAAGATGGCCAGGGCCCCAAAGAGCAGGTTTAAGGCTCGCACCCCCAGGCCCGAACGATACTGGTGTGAACAGTCTGGCGGGCACCTTCTCGACAAGATGCAGGCACTGAGGATCCGAGCCAGGCACTTTCGGAGGATGTGCTCCACGTAAGTGATAAACGCCAGAGACAGCAGCACCGCAGCCAGGTGGAAACTAAAGCCGTGCAGGAGGGCACTGGCTGTATAGGTGACCAGCACGGCTGAGAAGGTCCCCAGGTGGAGAGCATTCTTGAAAACATAGTTATTCAGCCAGCAAGACATGGGCAGGTTCCAGCTTGTGACAACTTCCACCATGGACCGGGGCAGCTCCACGTTCAGTGGCTTAGAGACGGTCAGGTCCCATTCCAGGTGATCCTTCTCCTTGGTGAAGCCGGTCCCTGCCAATGTGGCTGTGGCCTCGGATAGAAAGCCCACAAAATAGTTGCTCAAGCGGAAGGAGATGGCACTCTCATAGGCTCGCAGCCACTTGCGAAGGAGGTGGTCACCATCAAGGGGGATGAAGTAAGGGAAGAGATAGGGGCCCACACAGGTGGACAGCACCAGGCACAGAAGGGCCAGTAACAGGCTCTGGGCCACCTTCTGCAGCCACCGGCAGCTCAGTGGGCGGCCTTGGACGGCCTCTAAGTACCTGTGGAAGGATATCCAGGGCCCAAAGATGACGGTGCCCACAAAGCAGAGGTAGCCCATGAACTCCACGGGTGAGGGCACAACGCTCACCTCACCCCGATCCAAGTCAAAGCCCAGAGACACCGCCTTCATGGCCACAATCATCTGGGCCCCTCGCATCCTGTGCCACACCACAGTGTCCACCATGTACGTCTCACCCACGAGCAGGTAGGCGAGGATGGTGACGGAGATGAAGACACCGCGATGGGAGGAATGTCGGCAGAGGAAGAGCGCGAGGTAGCACAGAAGGCTGAGCAGCACGACCCAGACCATGTGCAGCTCGAAGAAGTGGTAGAGGCTGAAGAACCCACCTGCCACAGTACTTGCGTGCTTCAGGTAGGATGGCAATCCGAGCCTCCAGAGGAGGCGGCAGCCAAGACAGATGGCAAGGAGCAGCCAGATCTGGTCAAGGCCCTGCTGGGCAGTAGGCAGGAGACAGTCCTGCAGGAGCTGCTGGAAAAATTCCTGGCGGCTGAAGGTGGCCATTGTGGACCTCCACGGATGGATGAACAGATGACTTGGCAGTAAAGAAGCTACAGTCCAGCGGGCCAGGGACACACCACTGCCACCACTGGGCAGCCTCCCCCACCAGCTGCAAGGCTGGGACCACTGAAGCTCCCAGGGCAGCACCGTATACTTACTCTTAAAGACTGGGTAAAATAGATCTCCAGACAAAGGCAAGATTAGGGATAAATACAGGGACCAGTCGGTAAAGCCCGAAGTCACCCTACCTGGGCTCGCTCCTCATCAAACTCCAGGCAGCCCATACCATCCAGTCTCTGGAGATCAATCCAGCCTTTCCAGATAACACAGACTCCATTGAGAATCATCGGAGCCTTCAAATATACCTAAGACACAGAAAAGAAGGATGAAAATCCACGATGAGCCATCAGACACACAAGAAACAAAGGATAAACTTACTTATGAAAACTGGTTTTCTTTGAGGGGGGGGGAACTAAATACAATGATAAAATTAAGAATTGCAGGAAAATATACAAAGCATAGCCTCTGACTATGTTCTATACATTAAGCTAATCTGGCTTACCAGGATTTTATTTCTAGTCACAATTTTTCTAGATTAATTTTAAAAGGAAGTTTCACAGATTTTATAAAAACTGTTTGTAGTAAGATGATGCTTGAAGTAGACATCATTTCTCTTGCAGCTGAAGCTGGGACATTCAGGTACTTTGCCTTAATTTTTGAATCTTGAGTAGAAAGACATGTAGAGGTACAACAACTGGAATTCACTAGCCCCTGAAGCAAATGCACTGTTTCTATTTGGATACCTGAAGCCACCCAGGGTCAGGCTCTTCTCCTGTCCTTTCTGTCGAATGAACCACCTCACAGACTTCTGATAAGTAATGCTGCTGCTTTTCCCTTCTTTTTTTTTTTTTTTAACTTAAGGTTCTTTGGCTAATAGCAATAGAAATCAACTCTGGCTAACTTAAGTTAAAACTGATACAACACTTACTTATGCATATAACACATAATATGTTTCAAGTAAATAACCCTTGAGCAAAAGTCACTTTAGGCATGATTTCCAAATTTAAGTCACTTTCATTTTGGATTACCAAATCAATTTTCCTATTGCCTGAAAATATAATTGTTCTCAAGCAATTAAGGATCCACCAAGAAAGGATGGATCATCTTGATGAAACATGGATGATGCTATTATCTTGAGGTGAGTATTTTACTGTGATAAAATAAGAAAGGAGTAAGAAAAAATAAAAGGAGGAAAAAGCTGAGAACACCTTTTTCTTTAATCAACTCAGCAGTTTCTTCAACAAAAAAATCTTGAGGCACTCTTGTTTTTAGAGAGGTTTAGTAGGACTGTCAGTAATTATAAATATGCAAGAAAAATGACTACTGAAGCACCTGTAAAATAAAACCTAGAGGACTTATGCCTTCTTAGCACATATTTATGTCATTCTCCTAGACTACTAAACACAACTATTTTTCCTGTTAAGAGCCCCCATAAACCATGCTGAGTCAATTTCTACTGATATTGGGAAAAAAGTAAAAAACATTAGGTTCCATTTCTCCTCCCATGTGGACCAAGGGAAACAGTCTACAGTTATAGCTGAAACCGTTTAACCACACATTTCCTTCTGTTCTGATAAGTGCACATTGTGAATTCCCTTCCACATTGTGAATTTAAAACTCCAGTGGTGTGCACCTAATTGAACAAGTGACCGTGACAACCTCATGCATGATACCTGACTAAATCTGCAATAACTCTCTGAATTGCCTATCAATGTAACTTAGCTTACCACATCTACTAATTGAGATTCCCACTTACTCTTTCCAACAGAGTAGAGGGTGCTACACAGTACAGCATTTCAACTGTCAATCTACTTCATTATTTTAAATTCTCACGCTAAACATAAAGATGATTCTCATCTAACAGGAGAGAAAGGTCAATTTTATGATCAGATTATATATTCTTTATCAATGACTCACATCTTTTAGATTCAAAGATTCCATAACCTAACTTATTCAAATTAACTTCCATCGTCAAGAAATATTTTCCTTATGAAATTACCAAATTTTTTTAAAAAGCTGATTTATTACTCCTTTATAAAAGTTCTCTCATGACTAAGAAAACCACTGATGTGCCTTGGAAAATTCCTAAATGAGTTCAGAAAATGGCTACAGTTCATAATCAAGGCTAGTGCCTGGAATTGTAATTTAAAATAATATTTAGATGATCCTGTGATTTATTTAGATGTTCACATTTAAATAAATACAGTTTTATGTGTAGACCTTCAAAGTAAATGTTTGACACTTTCATACATTCATGAATAACAAACCTCGAAGTACGAAGAAAATAAAACTGTCAACAGTTTGGCATTTCGTAATATAATTTAATAATGTCATTTAAACATTCAGACATTTTTTACTGAAAGTAATGATGATTCATTTCAAACTGTAAAAAGAAAATGTATTAGAATATGACCTTAGGTTTAAACCACTGTCCTAGAATAATTAAATATTTTATATAAAATGGATTCTATAAAGCCTTCAAAATGGGTAAATATTCAGCTAATCACACACAAAAATAACATTAGCTTGCTTATCTTTCCAAAAGTAAAATATCGGGAGGATATGCTTAAGACTTCACAGAAAGTTAAAAGTAACTGCAGCCTCATGTTTTGCGTTCTTTTGGAAATAAGGTAAAAGTATTACAATTATAGGAAATGGCAACCCACTCCACTATTCTTGCCTGGAAAATTCCACAGAGGGTGGTTGGGGGGCTACAGCTGGGTTCACAAAGAGTCAGACACGACCAAGCATGAGCACGAAAGTATTGCACATTTTAAAAAATCAGCTCAAGTTCTAGGTACCAGTATTTCTAACGCTATTTCAATTCAAATTATACATGGTGTCACTTAATCTTCACAATCTATAGCCTTAAATTCCACATCACTGTAGCAGTAAAGCGTCACCCGAAGCATGTGCGAACCACCCTGGCATCACCCATTCACAGAGTGCCACTCAGCCGTTAAAGGGATAGAGTAGAGATACATGCTACAACATGGAAGAACCCTGAAAATACTAGGCTAAGTGAAAGAAACTGGAAAAAGGCCACAAACTACATGATTCCATTTACATGAAATATCCAGAGTAGGCAAATACAGAAATAAGAACGATATTAGTGGTTCCCAGGGGCTGGGGCTGGTGGGGGGGCAGGAGGTGTGTGGGAGGTGGTGGAAATGAGGAGTGACTATTAATAAGTACATGATTTCTTTTTAGGCTGATGAAGATGTTTTGGAATAAGAGTTCCAGTTCTGTGAATATAATGCACAGTTCTGTGAATATGCTAAAAATCCCTGAATTTTTCTTTAATTAAGTGAAGGGTGAATTTTATGCTCTATGAATTATATCTCAATAGAGTAATTATAAAACATATTCGTGGTAAGTTTTATCATCTGTTACACAGGCGACATCTAAGATATGGGAACAATGATTTCTGGGCAGGCAGTTGCATGCGGGGTTTTGGCACTCTGGGAAGACATACCGGTTGAAGATACAAATCTGGCAGCTATCAACAGGGCTTCCCCGGTGCCTCAGATGGTAAAGAATCCACCTGCAATTCAGGAGACCCAGGTTCGACCCCTGGATCTGGAAGATCCTCTGGAGGAGGAAGTGGCAACCACTCCAGAATTCCATGGACAGAGGAGCCTGGTGGGCTACAGTCCAAGGGATCGCAAAAGAGTCAGACATGACTAACACACACACAGCCATCAACAACACTGTGGTGTTTCAATCCAGGGGTACGGAAGAGATTAATCAAGCAACAATAAGTAGGAGAGAAGAGGGGAGCCCATGAAGAGACCTGAGGCAATTCAATTTTTTAGATGTTATGTAGAAGAGAAGAATCCAGCAGAGCAGGCTATGAACAAAGAGGAAAGCATGCAAAGAGCCTAGTGGCTAAAGGTTAAGTTACAGGCCTCCCCGTAAAAATTTCTCCTTTCTTGGCCACATAAAACTTCAAAGTATCATGTTACAGGATCTTAGGTCACTCAGAACTTTTAGCAATGCTCTCATTTAAAGCAGGAGTTTAGTCTGGAGTTCAGACAACCTACATGAGTTTGGGTTTACAGTTAAGTTTCACGAAGACCAGAAATGTCTCAAAATTCTGTATAAAAATATATGTTTGTGTCCATGTGTCTTTTTCTAAAGAAGTCTAATGCTTTCACCAAATTCTTGAAAGAATGTATAAGGGGAAAAGGATATGATAGTAAAAATGCAACTTTCCCTTCCCTCACAGACACCAATGTCTCTGCAGCGCACAGCTTACGAGATGATAAATCTCATTTCCTTTAGTAAAGGGACCAAACTACTTCAGCAGCTAAACATAAGTTACCCTGGGTTTTGAAATGCAAGAGTCTGAGTAAGGATATGAGAGAACTTAAGATACCTTTCCATTTATCAACCTGTATAAAAACTGCTCTATCTGAGAGTCTGGAGTCTCTTCTCTGTGGGTATCTAAATTTGGAATAAGCAGTGGCAACTTCAATTGTCCTTTCTTCTACAATAGCTCCTAAGGTAGCCAGAGAGACAACAGAAACTGAGAGTACAAAGGGGCAGCAAAGACAGTTCCCTCTGTTGAGTTTCTAAAGAATGTAATTTCAAGATAATTAAAATAGGATAACCGTAAATTTGCAAAGATTTCCATGCATACCAGTACTGAACTGTAACGTAACATCAATAAACATGGAAATCAAGTGTCAAAGCTATTGATAAAAGCAAGCAGCAGACACTTCACCCTCAAAAAATCTATTTCAATTGGAAACAATATTTCACTTCCTTGTAGTAAACTGTCAGAGCTCAAACACTGGTGACTTTAGTCTATAAAATGAGATAGTGGGAAAACAGTGGAAGAAATGATCCGTATTCCTTAGGCCCTCAGTAAATAACTGAATGATGATTACCAGAAGAATAGAAAGACAGCTGGAACTTAGAAATGCTTTTCTTATAGCTTCCCATAATTTCAACTTGAAAAGATTCACCTATTCAACAGATGTTTATTACCTGTCATTTTTTAAAGAGTAGTATCATTAAGGTTAGAGGGAAATACATGATGCATTTTTAAAAATTCATATCCCACTACCTCCCTCAAAAATTCCAACACCAGTTATCTTCAAGTCTGTAATAAGGAAGAGCTGAATATGTACAAAAAGAACTGTAAGAATTGAGACTGAATTCCGCTATTACATTT